CACACGAACAGTGCAACCGGAACGAACAACGCGATCAGAACACACGAACAATGCAACCGGAACGAACAACGCGATCAGAACACACGAACAATGCAACCGGAACGAACAACGCGATCAGAACACACGAACAACGCGATCAGAACACACAAACAATGCAACCGGAATGAACAACATGATCAGAACACACGAACAGTGCAACCGGAATGAGCAATGCGATCAGAACACACTAACAGCATAACTGGAACGCTGCAACCACGGGCAGAAGTACAAAAGAACGGTAGGTTGCCAACATTCCTAATTCCTGTATTATCATGCGCAAACGATCGTCGCAAGTACGAGATATATTTTCGTAATGGACGATACATGTTTTTTAATGTGTGGTATGTGTACCGTGGGGGTATGTGTGTATTAACGCATTTTATTAAAAGCAAGGACCAGTCGCGGGAACAAAGTGAACAAGTTCATGATTTCATTCATATCCTAGTGTGCAATAGGAAGTCGGGATGTTTTGACTCAACAGTTGCACTCACTCGCTCTCTCGCTCACTCACTCACACACCACCTCACACCAACCCACCCACACACCCACTCACTCACCTTTTGGCTCTGACTGTAGCAGTTGGCTGGCCTCCTTCGATAGCGTGGCTGTGCCTCGCACACATTAGGTCCCGGCACTGCCAAAAACAGCAACAACACATTCACACGCATACACGGTAACCTCCCTTCCCGATCTCCCCACGCGGAAAGCGTGATCGCGCATCTCTTGTGATCAACCCAACAGCTTACATTGCAAAGCACATTTGCCTGAGCGTACCTGTAATAAATTTAGTTACTAACCATAGCTGAATAAGAAATGATACAAATAAGAGTTATTAACTGCTCAGAAACAAAGGAAAACTAGCAGGAAAAAAAATTCCAGTCGCAATTTCATGTAATCTGTGTAGGCGCAGCAGGAACGTTGGGTGTTTTACCTCGTTCTGGCTCCACTGATATCGGCGCGACGTCACAGGTGCAGTTGATGGGTGGCGGCTCGACCACCACCAGCAGCAAGTTTGTCTCCACGATACGTCCGGAGTGGTATGACCTACGAGAGAGAGAGAACGTGTTAAAACGTGTCCGCACAACACACTAACGAAATGTGTGTGTGTACCATTGCACCACACATGCATACATGCACTGACATGTAAACACACACCGTCGCCAGTGTCCCACGCACACCAGGGTGCGAAATTAACGCGAGTCCGGAGTCAAATACTCCCTGATTTACTGTCAGACTCCTTGATTTACTGTCAGACTCCCTGATTTGGCATATGCAGGAGTACGTGTGACTCCCTGAAAATTAGGGTTAGGGTTAGTCAGAAATAGCTAAACGAGCCAGGTCAAACAGAGGTCAGGGGGACATAGACCCTACGAGCCTAACTAGTAACTAGCCTTATTATTCCCATGCAAAATTATCGTATTTTTACAGATGTCCAAAGAAAATTTGGCAGACGCAACCGCATAAATTTTCAAAATAAGCACATGCGTTATTGTTAATATCTTTAGTTTTGAACTTCAGTCTGCGGACAACCTGATTTTGCCGCAGACTCCCTCTTTTTGAGGGCAGGGAGTGCCCGTTGGACTCCCTTGTTCAAAAGTTTATTTCTACCCCTGCATGTACACGTATTTATATATTTAATGTGTGTTCACATGTACATGTATTTATATGTTTAATGTGTGTTCACATGTACATGTATTTATGTATAATGTGTGTTTGCATGTACATGTATTTATATGTTTAATGTGTGTTCACATGTACATGTATTTATATGTTTAATGTGTGTTCATGCGTACATGTATTTATATGTTTAATGTGTGTTCACATGTACATGTATTTATAAATGTATAATGTGTGTTTGCATGTACATGTATTTATATGTTTAATGTGTGTTCACATGTACATGTATTTATATGTATAATGTGTGTTCACATGTACATGTATTTATGTATAATGTATGTTTACATGTACATGTATTTATTTATACATGCACGTACATGTATATATGTATAATGTGTGTTCACATGTACATGTATTTATTTATACATGTACATACATGTACAATACATGTACATGTATTTATTTGTAATTAGTATTCACATCATGTACATGTATTTGAAGTGTGTTTACCATAATGTATGTTCACATGTACATGTATTTATATGTGTGATTTTAGATGTACATGTATTTATGTATAACAGGGTGCGAAATTAACGCAAAATTCAAAATTAAGTCAAATACTCCCTGATTTGACATATGCAGGAGTCCGTGCGACTCCCTGAAAATTCTGCTATATTAACTAGTTCGTTCCACAGCACGGCCTCGCGGAATTACAGTATTTTTTCCATCAAATCTTTAATTTTGAATTTCAGACTACGGACTCCCTCATTTTGCTGCGGACTCCATCTTTTTGAGAACAGGGAGTCCGTTGGAGAAGAAGGAGGAGTTAGAAAGTTAATTTCTACCCCTGCACACGATTATGCATGAATGAATGCCCCACATCTTCCTCTCAACCTCCTTCTCCCCCTCGCTCCCTTCCTCCCTCCCTCCCCCACCCCTACCTCCTTCCCTCGCAAACTACTCAAAAATAGACTAACTCGGACAAACTTGCCTGGGGCAGTCGTCGGTAGAACAATTGAACGTGCCGCTGGCGGCCGTGCTGTTGGGTCCGTAGCGGTACTGCACGGCCATCTTGATACAATTCTCTTCCGTCACTTCCGACTCTGGGTCCAGATTCTCAGCTCGCGCCGACTTCAGCCACCCAGTGGCAGCACTGTACAGGTTGAGGCCCACGTACGACCTGGGGAAGTTTTCCGCAAAGAATTTTCACGTCGAGGCGAAACGATGTGACCGTGCGAATAATATAAAAATATATAAAATAAAATGGTCATTATCAGAAAAAAAATAAAAATAATTAAATTGCGATATTGCATTCTGTAATGCTATCAAATTCTTGGACTGTGAACATACATCTTTAATAATTAATTTTATTTATTTATTCATGAATTCACGTAATTCTAATCTTGTACCTTGCAGCTTGCTGTGCTACCCACTGGAGACGACTGGCTGCCATACTCAAACTTGGCTGAAATGCACAAAGGAATTCAGTAACAGAGCTACAGGAATGTTCTACACCACAAAAACACGTGTTTTGCCACAGCCTTGTAAATAAGTGTTAGGTGAAAGCATTTTTTTCGGAAATTCGGCACTTCCACTTAAGTCTTTCTTCTCAGGAACCTGGACACATTCTAGACAGACATACTAGTTCTCTGCCAATCTTCGCCTTCAATCAGAACTGTTTAATTCACACTAGAGAAGCATTCAATATTGGTTGGCGACCGTGGTTAGATTAAGGTTCTTATACAATTTACATTTGTGACTGGGGTTAGGGGTCGGATTCGGGTTCGAGCCACCAACAGGGTTAGGATCCTGACTCAGGTTAGGGCCACGACGCGGATTAGGGTTGTGACCTATGTTAGAGCCAGGACCTGGGTTATAGTCCCAACCCTGGTTAGGGTCACGACCCAGCTCAGGGAGTCATGACCCAGCTCAGGGGTTGTGACCCAGCTCAGGGGACGTGACCCAGCTCAGGGGACGTGACCCAGCTCAGGGAGTTGTGACCCAGCTCAGGGGAGTCGTGACCCAGATCAGGGGAATCGTGACCCAGCTCAAGGGGTCGTGACCCAGCTCAGGGGGTCGTGACCCAGGTCAGGGGTCGTGAACCGGGGGAATTGTTCCCACAGTTACTCACAATGTAAGCGGACGCGACGCCGGCGCTCGTCAGGTCCTCCTCCACCTTACACAACGCCTGGAAGTCATACTGCTGCTCCCTGCAAAGCAGAAAGACGAGACATTCAACATCCGATACCGAAGACACTAACGACTAACTACTAAGGTGCTCCTCCACCTTACACAACGCCTGGAAGTCATACTGCTGCTCCCTGCAAAGCAGAGAGACGAGGCGTTCAACATCCGATACCGAAGACACTAACGACTAACTACTAAGGTGCTCCTCCACCTTACACAACGCCTGGAAGTCATACTGCTGCTCCTTGCAAGGCAGAGAGACGAGACGTTCAACATCCGATACCGAAGACACTAACGACCAACTAATGAGGTACGAGGACGAGCTGTGTTGCCGTGGTTGCGAAGACGAGCTGCATTACCACGGCTACGAGAACAACCTACGTGGACACGCTACGAGGTCTGTCTGTCTACGTAACGATGGATGAAACCTGTGTTNCGGATACAACCTGTGTTACCACGGATACAACCTGTGTTACCACGGATACAACCTGTGTTACCACGGATACAACCTGTGTTACCACGGATACAACCAGTGTTACCACGGATACAACCTGTGTTACCACATATGCAACCTGTGTTACCACGGATGCAACCTGTGTTACCACGGATACAACCTGTGTTACCACGGATACAACCTGTGTTACCACGGATGCAACCTGTGTTACCATGGATACCTGTGTTACCACAGCTACGAGGCAAAAATGTGTGATTTGCTATGGCTACGAGGCCAACCTTTGTTACCGTGGCTACGACGGCGTAACCACGGCAACAAGGCCGAAACGCGTTGCCACGGCTAATGCGGCCCACCTGACGAAGACGCCGTCGCGGTAGAGCTGCTGCATCAGCGACGGATCGAGCATGCCGAGGAACGCGCCGGTAGGGGGCGCATCCGAG